ATAGAGAGATAAAGTGTAGAGAGATAGTAGAAAGTGGAAAGTGAGCAGAGAGAGAGAAGAGGTCCCCCTCCTTGGTGGGTTTCATACCTTTATATACTCGTAGCGGGTTTAGAGCTTCATACGTTGTCGATTGGACGCGGTATTACTTAGTCTCTGCGGGGAGTCCCTTAGCAACACCCCCAACAATTGCCCCCTAAGCTGGTGGTGATTTTTAACTCATCACTAGCTTATATTTTATTTTTTAAATCTTCGTCGGTAATTTTGGGTGGGGCCCTATGTACCCCAGTTGCCCCCCAGCTGGTGGCGCGTTTGACTTACGCGGTGCCAGCTTCTTGCGTTTTGCCCCCCGGTTGGGGTATTTCATTAAGGCGTGTAGCCTTCACCCATTGCAGATTCTTCATGGAGCTCTCCTCGTCGGGGTGTTTTTTAACCCTCAGTTTGGAGTTCTCCTCGTCGGGGTTTTTAACCCTCACTTTGAAGTTCTCCTCGTCGGGGTTAAAAACCCTCAGTTTGGAGTTCTCCTCGTCGGGGTTTTTAACCCTCAGTTTGGAGTTCTCCTCGTCGGGGTATTTTTTAACCCTCAGTTTGGACTTCTCCTCGTCGGGGTTTTTAATCCTCAGTTTGGAGTTCTCCTCTTCGGGGTTAAAAACCCTCTCCTTTAGCGCCATTAACGCTCATGAGAGTAAAATATTTCAATATTTGATAATGATAGATGGATAAAGTACTTACCTTTTAATTGGAGAGGCGGCAGGATACTGATTAAGTGGAATGCGGCGCACTATTTTGGCACAAGGCGCGTATGTGTTGTTGGGGCGCGAGTCGAGCCTCTTGCAGTGCGGGCCGCGAGTAGTTGAAGAGCAGGCGTTGCGCCATTGAGAAGCAAGCCGCGTATGTAGCCTACTGGTCATAGCGCTTGTGAGGTGGAGAGATGGCGCGGGTTCGAATCCTGGGGCCTACAAATAATTTTTTGAGGAGTAAAACCAGACTGGGCGCGCGTTGGTCGTTGGCCCATCAGCCGCGAGAGGTGGACTGGGAGGCGGAGGCGGAGCGTTCATGGGCTTGGGCCGCGAGTGGAGTCAGGCCGCTGCTTGCAGCCGCACAAGTGGGCCGCGAGGCAGAGGAGGCGGTGCGGTCATGGGCTTGGGCCACGAGTGAAATCAGGCTGTCGACTTCGCGGAGGGAGTAGTCACGCGGGCGGTTTGAAGCGTTGCGATTTTTTTTTCCTTCCTTCCTTTTTTTTACCGGCGGAGATGAACAACGGCTTTTCGGATGCGGCCGCAAAGTCTCTGCGCTTCGATTGAAGCTACGCGGGGGGGATTGCAGGCCCGGGGTTGTAATTTTGGCGACGCGGCAGCCCGGATCGAGGATGTGCCTGAAGGGGGTGTCCGAGTCGGTTGAGCAGGGCACTTGCGCGGGCACGAGAAGAAGAGATCGGAAGCGCACCGGCGCCATTGATGAGATCAGGGACAAGGCACGATGTCTTTGTCTGTTGTTTTTCCCTTTTGAATTTGACCGGCGATAGCGCGAAACACTTCTCTAGTTATGCGGCGGTCAACGAGGGAGGAGGTTAGGGCTGGCTGACTAACCCCGACGGTGGAGCCGTCGCGCGATGCGAAGTCGCGGCGCCATTTGACGCGCTGATCGGGAGGGAGCTTGCTGGAGCGCTGGCTTTTGAAGAAGAGGATGCTCTTGCGGAGCGCGTCGTGGTAGTCGTGGGTGGGGGGCGACGGCAAGGGGGAGGATGACGGCGGCGCGGAACGAAGACATTGCGGTTGCTCCGGCGGGGAAAGGCAAGTGTCGCGGCGACGAACAGAGGAACGGCAGCAAGTGGCCGCCTTCTTTCTTTCTTTCTTTAATTGTTCCTTTTTGTTCAGGGCTTACGCATCTTTTCCCCAAATTGAGGAGAGCGTTAGGGACGTTTATGTGCGGTCGAGGAGAAGCAGCTGCGGGTGACGAGTAGTAGAGCGTGGAGTTAGTGTTGGCGGCGAGAAGGGCAGAGCTGATTTGGCCGCACAAGGCCTTGGCCATTTCCCATCCTGGTGTTCGAAGATGCTTGTCGCGACTCTGCCCCTGCCTCGGTAATCGCATGCCTCGATGTCTGTGTCCACTGCTTTTCCTGACAAAGATTGAAAATAGCGATAGCGTGTTTTTGGGAGAAAGGTTGCAGACAGCTGACGGGACAGCTAGACTTCTTTTTTCTCATTGAAGCGCTGGCACCACCTCCAGCCATAGAAATCTTCATCGGAGACCAGAGATTCGGCGGGGGTAATGGAGACGAACGGTGATCAAACGATTTTTTTTTTATCGTGCTCCATGGATCTTTCCTTCCCCCCTTTTTTTGTGTCGAGGTTTCTGCCTCATTTTCTTTATCTCTTTCTTTCTTCCGAAATCAAACGAACGAATGCATCAGTCTTGCCCCACGGTGGGCGCCAATTGTTTGTGCCAACTAGCTCAAGACACGAACAATGATATTTGTTGGTGTGGGGTTGACTCATGATCCGTTCGTCTGATCTCGTCGGGAGGGGGGAGACATGTGAAAGAGTCGGGGTTGCCCCCCGGATTAAGCTCCGACGATCAAGTCAGTACGTGTTTGAGGAGAAAGTTGAGAGAATAGATAGAGAGATAAAGTGTAGAGAGATAGTAGAAAGTGGAAAGTGAGCAGAGAGAGAGAAGAGGTCCCCCTCCTTGGTGGGTTTCATACCTTTATATATTCGTAGCGGGTTTAGAGCGTCATACGTTGTCGATTGGACGCGGTATTACTTAGTCTCTGCGGGGAGTCCCTTAGCAACACCCCCAACAGAAACAATATTTTAAAGTATAAACAACATTCATTCTCTGAAAGCGGTTACATAGAAATATATGCTAGAATGTTGTTTCTTAAGTTCCTTCTGTGTTGTATACTCCATACTGCATGTCTTTATCTCCCTTGGAGCTTAAGTATATGTTTGTTCGTTCTGGTGTTCTCTTTCTCTTCTCTAGAGTCTGGACCGATGTGTTTTTACGAATGTCTACACTGGTGTAATTAGTTCCATCACTTAAGATTCTGGTGAAGGCTGTTTTTCTTCATATCATCTGCACTTCCATATTATCCAAGTGTGTGTGAGCCTATCATGTTCTACACACATCATCAGTGCATTCTGGAAGTTGCAATGATGTTTGGTAGAGTCTTTTCTATATGAATTCTGCTTCATAATAATTTAGGACTTTGAAACTCTTGTAGTGTTAACAATTTTTGCACAGATGATCCTTAACAAGCTAACTAAGAACAGTTAGCAACAATTTCGATGCTAGGACTTTACTACATTGCTGACATAGATAAAATGTAACTCGGCCTTTTATGTTCTCACTATGGTATGGGTGCATTTTGCAGGTGTGGAACAAGGTAAGAGACATGGAATGGGGTTTGAATGACTACGGTTGAGCCGTCCCATTTCATACTTGCCTGGATCAATGTAAGAAAAAGATAACTCCAGTTTTATGAATCATCTTCATCACAACAGTGTCCGCTTTCGACTTCTCAGCCAAGTACTACTCCTGCAGTAGCGGAGATGCGTGAGGCAGAGCAGCTTCTTTGAGGGGAACCCCTATTGGGACAAGACATCAGCTACTCTGTCATTCTCGGCTTTGATGCCTTCTTTGCCATTGCCACTTCTTTTCTGGTCCAAAACTTTAAACACTTTCTTTTTCTTCTTCTATTTTTTTAGTAAATAAGTGATTAGAAGTTATTTTTATGTTGCTGTGTTGATCTTTGTTGCGTGCTTTCTGTACTTGGCTAATTCCAGGCGTGGATGGAGACTATATATGATGGGTTTTGTCACACTTTACAATGGGTACACAGTTGGATGAAACTTTTCAAAATGAAATAAATCAAGCTCAGAAGCTTATACTCTATGGTTCTTCTCAATTGGATGGCTCATGAAAGTTTTTTTCATCTTGGTCAAGGAAGAGAAAGTACTTGATGGATCCGGACAGTTTGGAGGAAAAGGTGCCTCGAGAATTAGAGCTTTTGCTTTCTTTTGTTATATTGTGAATATGGATTTAATTTTTCTCAATTTGATTAAACTTTGTTATTTAATAGGAGAAACAAATTTTGTATAAACTAATCAATGTGTCGAGAGGAAGAAATTAGTGACTGATGTGTTGATATCATCACACGATTCTTCCTTGGTCACGGATGCAACTTGATATGCTGAAGGAGATGAAACAAATGGCTGGTTTGAACATAGAAAGCAAATGGATGTAATGGTTTTTTTATGAAGTTGTTTGAACCTCACCATACAGTATACACTTTTGTAAGAAGTCTTTCAGGTATTGTGCTTAATGATTGCTCTGTATATAGTATTCTGTTTGTATGGACTGTGTGTTCATTTATGAAAATGCTGGAAAAAGATGCATTGTTTATTTATCATTATTTTGTTCAAAATAAAATAGCGTTTTCTTCGCCAAATTTATTAATCAATATGTTCTTAGAAGTGCATCCAACTTAAAAATCGTGAATATAATTGCCGACTAAATATTGAATTGAAGATACAAAAATCTCATGCATACACTTTCAAAACTTTTAAACAACACGGTTGTCAGTAGCATGACCTCCACTTTGCCATCACATAAACTGGCTACTGCAACTTTAGTTCCCGCGACATAATCGTGGGTATTGATTCTAGTAGAAGTATAGAACTCGACTCGGAGGATTACCTTACGAGAAAACGGACAAAAAGCAACCTAAAAGACTAGTGTACCAGAGGAAGAAAAACTTAAGCCAAACCAAAAATCAGTAGCCCTAAACGGCTAAACCTAGATCAAGAAAATTATGATAAGCAAGACTAAAGCTACGGTCAATAATTAAAATTTGTAGCCAAAGCAAGCAAAAGCGAAGAAGCAGAATGCAAATAATTGACAAAACAAAAAACAATCGAAAGGGAGAGAGGAAGAGAGGGAAAGGAAGGAGAATAAATCCCAGCCCGACGAGCCAAAGATGGAACCAGGGTGACGGTGACCGGTCACAGTCCATGTAGGATGACTTCATCTCCGAAATCAGCTCCAGAAGCAGGCACCGAGTTCTTCGTCCTCATTTGCTTCGCAGCGGTGGCGGCGACGACCGCGAAAGGCGGGCTCGTTGATGGAGCATATTCGGAAACTAAGCTTCTTGCTGCTTTCTTCGATCGCCGGTGGATTTGAAGCTGGAAAGGGACGTGGATTTCTATGCACAAACCCAAGTTGTAGCTTTTGTTTTGCGAAAAGCTGGAGTCTTTGTAGGTTGGTTCCCGAATTTTCTAGTTTTCTGCGCCATGCTGGAGACGGGAATATAGACGAAGATGAGAAAGTTGCCGTCTTTCAGCTCCAGAAGGTCGCTGTATCTGTGGAATTTGAAGATACGGGACGCCACAAATCGTGGCCTTTACAAGCAAACTCTCGATCTCTACAGTTCCATCCTGCAATCTGGGGTAGGTGGTGGTAGTAACTTCACTTACCCGATGGTCCTTAAAGCCTGTTCTTCCCCCGACGCCATCCACGTCGGGAAAACGCTTCATTCCCATGTTACACATCTGGGTTTCCAGGCGGACGTCTACGTGCAGACATCTCTCCTCGATATGTACTCCAAGTGCGGCGACTTGGTTTCTTCGAGGAAGGTGTTCGACGATATGTCTGAGAGAGGCGTTGTGTCTTGGAACTCCATGATCGCTGCTTATTGCCGTTGTTCTCTCGTTGATGAAGCCGTTTCTGTGGTAAACCAAATGAGGGCTCTTGGTCTGGAACCAAGTTCGACCACTTTCCTTGTGTTGTTTCCTGCTTGTAGCTCCCTTCTGCAGGGCTTATCGACCCAGTGCTGTGCCTTCAAAATGGGGTTCCTGAATGGTGACGATGAGGTGCCTCTAACTAATTCTGTGATGGGTATGCTCGTCAAACACTGTCAAACTCATGAAGCTCGTGCAATCCTTGAGAAGATGCAAGAACCGTCCGTCATCTCTTGGACAACAGTGACTAGCGGTTATGTGGAAACTGGACACGTGAAAGAAGCTTTCTCTGTGTTTAACCAGATGAGGAGGAAAACCATCAGCCTGGATTATGTAGCTTTCTTCGCAATCATATCAGCTTGTGGCCAGCATGGCGACCTGTTGGTAGCTTCGACGGTCCATTCTCTAACAATCAAAACCGGATGTGAGGGTGAAGATGCTATTGACAATCTGCTAGTGAGCATGTATGCAAAATGTTGTGATCTCGTCTCAGCTAGACGTGTATTCGATTCCTCTTGTGAGAAAACTGTCTTCGTCTGGACATCAATGATTAGTGCATATCAAAATGCAGGTCGTCCAGCTGATGCTATAGAACTTTTCAAGAGGTTGTTGCAGACAAGTGTGAAACCGGATGAAGCAACTCTGGCCATCATTCTTTCAGCTTGTGCTGACACAGGGACTCTGTCTCTGGGAGAAGAAATTGAAGAGTACATCACGACCAACGGGTTGCAGTTGGATCGCCAGGTCCAGACCTCTTTAATACACATGTTCTGCAAATGTGGTAGTATAGAGAAAGCACGAACAGTATTTGACAGTATATCAGAGAAAAAAGACTTGGCAGCTTGGAGTTCCATGATAAATGGCTATGCCATTCATGGGATGGGAAATGAGGCCCTGAGTCTCTTCCACGATATGCAAAATACGGAAGGAATAGTGCCAGATAGTCTTACTTACACGAGCATATTACTGGCCTGCAGCCATTCAGGACTTGTGGAGGATGGGTTGAAGTACTTCAAGAGCATGCAGAAGGATTTCGGTTTAGAACCCAGAATTGAACACTATACTTGCTTGGTAGATCTTCTGGGTAGAGCTGGTCGGCTTGACTTGGCACTGGAAACCACATTGGATTTCCCTGAGAAGATTCAGGGACGGATGTGGGCTCCATTTCTAAGTGCATGCAAGAAGCATCGAAACGACGAGCTTGGCGAATTGGCTGCTAGAAAGCTGTTGGAATTCAGCACTGGAAGCACTGGGAACTATGTATTGATGGCAAATCTGTACACATCTCAAGGCAAGTGGAAGGAGGCGGCCGAGACAAGAAGATTGATGGACGACAGAGGACTTGCAAAAGAACCTGGTTGGAGCCAAGTTGAGATCTGTGATTCTGGAGATCGTTAAGGCTGAATTCTTAAAGCATTTAATTTAAAGCTGTACATAAATTCAAGAATCGGGCATTCTGATTATCTGCTCGCGAATGGTACAAACGTTTCTTTGATGTAGAATCCGCAACTAACAGTGTGAATCAAACGGCTACCTAAACAAAAACAACAAGGGAGCCAAATAGTATCTTCTGTTAGTAAGCTATCTTGTATTTATCTTTACAACAGCTATACGAGTTGGGTCCTTCTGAATCTGAAAGAAACTGAAACTTCACCAGGAGCTGGCATACACCGCAATCTTTTTAGTCTCTTTCGTAAATCTGGAAAATCCCTTCCTCAACATTCTGCAGTACTTTCTTCCTTCCTTCTCTATACCAGTGGAATTATGATTTACCGCTATAAAAGCTTCACTGTACACAATCGTGGCTAGTAGAAAGCATCCAACTTAATGCATTCGTTCATCAATCAAAGCTTCCCCCCCACCAGGAAAGGTCTCTATTTATTTATTTTCAGCTTTATCTCGCATTCTCTCCACAAAGCTTTTACTCTTTTCTTCAATGTGCCGCCTTTTCTCTTCAAGCTTCTCGCTCATTTTCTTCCCCAGATCAAGCATCCTTGCTCTTCGTCCCAGTCTCTTAGGCTCATCAATGCCTTCGATTGACCTATCCACATTTATTAGAGATCTAGATGCTGTTGGTGAGCTTTCAGAAACATAATCCCCATTCTGCTGAAGACCTTTGGGTTCGTGGCTCACTAATAATGGAGTTCTCAATTCTTCTGATGACCTCCTGGTTTCTGTTGGTGACTTTTCCGAGCTAGCCAAGGCATCTGAAGAATCGGGTTTCGTATGTTGGCTTTCACCAGTGTTCCTGTTCGCTTCGGAATTGCTTTCCGGGCTATTGCTGGAGGTGGTTCCCTTCTTATCTTCTGTCTTGGCTTTCGGTTTAGGTGGCAGGGAACCAAAAGCTTCGCTCACAAGTGCATTGTCACCAGTTGATTCTCGATTAAGCCACATGAAAGGTGCAACTTTTTTAGGGACCCAATCATTCTTTTCAGCTAACATCCAAGGAATACCAACACTCTCACAGTTGGGTAGTACCATAGTGTCCCGAATAGCAGTCTGCATCAGAAAAAACTTGTAACTACTTTTTTAAATCAAATTATCTTCATAATGCAGGACGGTTCAATTTCTGTCCTGAATTATCTGCAGAAACTGAACACTGGGCCTTTTTCTCTCATATCAATGGCACCATTGACCAAGAAAAACTATTGTTCAAAAGAACAACAACGATCACTGTATACCTTTCACCCTTTACGCCAAGATTGTGATGAATGGACTGTCAGGTCGAAAATGGATGAATTGGGCAAATTCCGCAAATTACCACCAATAGGAAACATCGAACAGGAGATGGTTTCATGGTTCACTTAAAAAACTGAAATTACATATCCATTTTTGCTTCAAGGGAAATTCTTCTTTCGTGCTTTTAAGCATTACGAGTCAAATCTAGAAACGAAATTAGCCAACTGGCCCTTGAAGGTGAGTGAGATATTGTTGTTGCCATTTAATCTCCCAACAAAGTGGCCCTACCCTATATGGGCATGGCTTCATGAAGCAGCCCAATTAGTTCATAAAGAGAGGATATTCAGCATGTTAGTGAAGGAAAATCTCTTACCTTGAACCGATTGATGAGGAACAAAGCAATATGTCCACTAGTAATCTTATGATCTCCAACTGAAGACTCGAGTTCAAACTCTATATCAGGCATCGATGTGAAACCAAACCATAGCTGATCAGAAGGAGGTGGCTTTATGTGTAACCGCAATGTTCCGCGGAGAGAAGAAACCCTTATTGACAAAGAGATCGGCACCTGCACTCAGAACCATTTCATAAGGGTCAAATAAAGTTGAAGCAACATGAAAAATTCTTCTCTTGAGGGGAGGAGGAGGTGGAGTATCATCTACTTGTGCACACCCCAGTATTAAGGCGTGTTGGGCATGTACAATGAGAACACAGCATAATTTCCATAAGACTCTCACCAGACAATGATTTGCAAGAGTAACCCATGCCACAGGACCAATTTGGTTAGTGTTTACCATACAGGGGAACTGCAAGCCCCGGAAAGGCAAACAACCTACTCTTCTATGACATGATGAGCACACAGACTCGTATGTTCCCCAAGTGGGAAAGAACAAGATAGTCGAGAAGGGATCCTTAACAAACCTGTGAAACCTGTTTTGCAATAGAATTAACAATGGCCTTCCACTTAGACATAGGTGTTGACGTTGGCACACTGCTAGAAGTGCTTCTTGATCCTTCTGCAGAAACAAAAAAGGAATAAGAAACAGATATCCTCACATTAGGATGTATGCATGCGCTGTAGGTGTTGAAATGAAGTATGCTTTCTACAATGCCAATTTATGATAATTCCATGTCTCTCCACAATCCCAACTGGTTTTTTGAAATTTTGCATGTTAACTGGCATTAAATCTCATCAGTGAGCTTGAATTAGCAACTAGGAAACTTGGATAATGCACGCAATAGCAAGGGGAGTTTATTTCCAGCCACTATGAATGTATAGAAATACAGACGCAACAACTATATTAACTGTGGAAGTTGCATTCCACACATTAGCATCTGATATTCACTAAAAGAAAATTAAGAAAGGAGTGGAAAAGGAAGGCTAGGATCCGCTCACCGAGTTTAGGATCACCTTCCTCCTTATACTCTTGGGTATGAACAGTCCCCTCCGGAAGATTTAACTGCTTCCCATAATGTTCAAAACCTTCCAACAGATCTGAAGAGATATCACCCCCTGAGCTTGATTCTGTGTTTGTGTCTCCAATACCCTTTTGCAGATCTATATCACGAACCTCTATTCTTGTTTCAATATCCAGAACCACTCCCCCACAATATTCAATGTCAACATCCCACATCCAAACATCATTCATGTCCACAGGAAGAACCCTGATGCCATGGATGTAAGGAGGGAGGTTGCCTAGGTGTAGGCTTGTACATACAACTTCACCAACATATGTCGGAATTCTCATATTGGACAAGGTTCTCTGATGCAAATGAAAAACAAAATTATTGAAGGTCGGGATGGGATAGACAGAGGAGGCAAAGGTAGAGAACAAGCTAAATACTCTGTAAAAAACAAATGCATCCAGTCTTCAAGAAAATATGTGCATAGTTAGCAGTTCATGCTGAGGTAATAACATCTTCTTGCCTAGACTAAAAAGAAATTGTCAGATCCTGAATGAGACACAGAATGGTTCACTGTTGCACCTTGCAATTTAATTTAGCTTAAATAGTAGAAGCGGTCTGAAACAAATAAATTGAGATATGCATGCATAGAATAATAATAATTTCTACTGTGAGCACCACTACTGTAGGCGCATACGCTCTAAGAGGAAAGTGAGTACCAAAGATGAAAGAATCCATACCATGGACAATCACAAATACAGTACAGGTTCAACCACTTTCTTTAGGGCAAGATATTCACTCTTATTCGAACAATGTGCTTGAGTTTAACTTTTTAGAACAACTGACCTGGATTCGTGCTTGCACTGAACTCTTAGTCTCCAAATTGCCTTTGACATCAAAAAAGAGTCGAGAGATCAGCAAATTCCAGCAAAGTGTTCCATCATCTACACTATACTTTTCATCGGATTCTCCATCAGAAGAGGCATGGCTTTGGGAACGAGAATAGGAAGCTGATGATGCTGTATGGTCCTCTTCAGTGATGATAGGAGCCTTCACTGATGGAAGTGTCTTTGCCATGTTACTGGCCACTGAGGGATCTTGGAATGGACGAGACCTTTCACGGCCTAACGAAGGTGTTGCCCTATTCTCTGCAGTAGCCTTGGAACCCCTTTTAGAGAGTTTTCTCCAAAATGAGCGAACCTTGGATGTTGAACCATCGAACCTGGTCACCCTATCTATCATTTCTTCATTGCACCCTGAAGAGGGCTTCATAAATGAAGGGTATCCAGTATTCAAGGACATCAAATAAGAGTGGAACTCTTCAGTCACTTTGGTAAACCAGGAAAGCCTCAGTTTGTCATCACATGAGGCAAGACGAAGCGCTTTACACCAGGACTCCTTCTCCCAGGATGTTTCAAGATATACATAAACTGTTCTACTTCCATTGTAAATCACAGAACTTTTGCTTTCTACTTTGATGGGATATCTTTTGGCCCTGTAGTACAATAAAAGAACCAGAATCATACATGGAAGGATGAGGAAAAGACCGACATAAAGAAAGATTCATAAACTTCAAGACCAGATCCTAACTCCATAGCCTAATCTACAACTTCTATCACTTGACTGATTGTAGAATTTCAGTTTCCATATAGTTGCTTGATTGATGAAATAAAAGAATGTCATTTGAATACACTTTGCAGCTAATCCATTATCCATTTATAAGATTACCATAGCAAGCACAACACTAGAGCACAGCAGATCTTAGGATTCACATTCCCTACAACATACAGTAACTGGAAAAAAACTGCTCTAGTGAGTGAAACAGATAAGCCTAGCCAACAATGCCCAAATGCAAAGGAAACTCGCATCACCTAGCATAATACCATATTTGAAACCTGGGAGTACGCTACAGAAGGAGTTAGGAGAGGAATGCATACCATTTCCTTGAACAAAGACTTGTAGCAGAAACAGCTTCTACAAGACAACCGACCAAAGGAACAGCTGTATGTGTACCATCTGAATCAACCAGAATAAGGAACCGGTCCCTGATTTTAGCATGTTTTCTAACAGGGACAACCTCATAGAAATCTTTCTTCTTCTTTTGCTCCTTCTCAAGCAACCATGTTTTCGGAACTTTATCAGGCTCAAGAACCCATACGACTCCCTGAGATAAACGAAAAGGAATACAACTACAAACAATGAACACTGCAGAAACACTGGAAAAGCTAGCAAAATGTAATGATAGTGAAAGTGTGTGACTGCAACGAATAAGTGCAGAATAATGTGACAGCATGAGATGATGAGGTAGAAACCATAGGAAGGCCTAGTAGGTCAGTTTTCCGACTTTAGTCAGCCAGGACAAGGTGGATTATCACATTCCCCAAAAGATCAATCAGCGGATGAAAGATCACCAATGATCATTTATACTAAGAAAAGAATTTAAATTTTCTACAGACGCAGAGACATTCAGCAATACAGAGCAAAAAACATCTCACATTCACCAGCGCAAGCTTATGAAATAATTCAAAAAATAGAAGGGATTAAAGAACCACAACCAGGTGGCAATCAAACAGCATTTTTGGGCTTAACCCAACTGAAAAGGCAGTGAATTTTTGCAAGTTTAGGAAAACGATTTGCTACCTTCTTGTTATGAGCGTATTTGAGGGATTGCCTGGGATCGAGGTCTTTCTGCGGATCCCCCGGCGAGGACAATTTGGATTTCTGCAGCGAAATCTTGCGGTTGAGTCGCTGAAGCAAGGCGTAGGCGCCAAGAGCTTCCAGGGCAGCGAGTGCAACCGCACCAAGGAAGAAGCCAGCGATGAAAACCAGGAAGACCCACATTGACGATTGTGGTTTTTCCCAACTCCAATCAAGTCCACCTTAAACCGTTCTTCGCCCTCGGGGGGAAACGATCAAGAAAGGAAATGAAGGTATCGATGATTCAACTGCGCTGTGCGCTCCAAAGTGAAGTACCTGTCCACTGAATTCAGGATTGGTGGTGGGTACAGCAGGCAGTAAAATTGAGAGTTTGGTGGCAATGATGGAGGCCGGAGGGAGGGAGGAGAGAACCCTAACAGAGGATCTGGTTCTTTCTCTCTGTGTCTGTACTACTATTTTTCTTCCGATTCGGTTAGAATTTTGGTTTTCCGCCTTCTTTGGGAGAAATTCCCTTTTCTATCTTTTTGCTTTGCTTTTGCATACTTACATTACATGGAAAGAAAGAAGGAAAAGACTAGTACGGGAATAAGATATTTTTAGTTGGGAATTTTTCCACAAAGAAGATTTTATATTTCTATTTTAGATAATATATTTTACCCTTTTATATGAAAAATTAGAAAATAAATCTAATGTGATTTCACAAGTTCAAAAGTTTTACGAACAAAATATTATTTGTTTTGGGTCTAGACGCTTGTACATTTTGTTTTGGTGTACATATTAAGCTAATCATGTTTAACTTCGAAGTTCATGTAATAACTCTTTTATTTCACCCAAAAACACATCTTATAAATTAAGTTTGGTTTCTTACTTATGTATGAATTATGGATCTCTCCAGTTATTTGTTGATATGGGGATTCGCCTAAGGTGTTACTTGTGTTGTCGTTTGCCTCACCATCGTTCAAGAGGGACGCCGAGAGACTATGATACCATTTGTAACTCCCGAATTTTTTTCCAACAAGATCTTGTCCCTTTTCGGTCTAGACTCTCACGGATTTTGCCTTGGGGTATATATCAAAGTGATTTCCATAAGGTCACTCATCATTGGAGTGCTCCACAGTGAGCACGTTTAACTTCGAAGTTCTTCCAAAAACTCCTCTATTTTACTCCAAAGCACATCTCATCAATTAATATCGATTTCTTATTTATAAATCATGGATCTCTCCCATCCTTTGTCAATATGAGATTCACCTAAACCTTTACAAGTTATAACTGTATTTTCCTCATTGCTAGTTTCTTTTCTTCCTTGATTCTTAAAATTGGTTTTTCCTCTTTTGTTTTGTGGCTTTTTTGTCCATGATTATAGTTTTCGGATTCCTCCCTCTTGGACGACATCTTTTTAATCGGCTCATATTTGTCCCAAATTTGGTCCTTTGAAGGAAGACTCTAGGGTGGACCTTGTTGCTCTAAGACGTCAACCTTATTTTACCATCTTTTAACAATGACATTAAAAAACCTAAAATTCAATAATTATGGTTTACCGCGTTTGTAAAACTGTACATTACCGACAATCTGACAAGAAAAATCGCCTACTAAATTTTAAATCGATGGATTGTTTTAGCAGTATGAAACGATTGAGTCACGATTAACCAAAGTTTAACACAAAATACTCTATCATTAACTTTAGATACTATTTTACCATCATTGCTTTTTAGGTTCTTACAAAGCCGCATGTCGAGATTTCATCCCCCTTCCTCTAGAAACAAACACATCTGTCTTCTCTCACCATCGACCAACCACTAGAGAACTAGTTACTTGTATTCTATTATATAGCAGGCCAGCTCACGAAGTAATGACTTCAATGCGACCCGCCATTCCTAACCTAGAAACTGAAACAAGAATTTCAATAGCATAATTGGGTACTGATATATCAATGGACGAAAGCTTCACTACCTGCTTAACCTAGAAACTGAAACAAGAATTTCAATAGCATAATTGGGTACTGATATATCAATGGATGAAAGCTTCACTACCTGCTTTTTACGCACACCCAAAGAATGAAAGAAAGAAGCCCATTCTCATTTTCAGAACACGAACAGGGGAAAATAAGCTAAGTTACACTTTGAACTGACACTCTTTCAGAGAGTCATTTCATTTCCATTAAGAAAGATCAGCAAAAGTTCATCTAGGTTCTCGACCACTAATATTCAACTGAGCCTGATAACAATAAGAGTCAGATAATACACTTAAAACACAGCCAAAGCTCCATCTGTATGTTCTTGTGCATAACTATCCATGACATCAAGTTTAACCCTAAAAGAAAGGAACATTCTTCCTAATAGACAGCAATCATTGTGGCCCAAGCCATCACTGTAAGTGCACATTAGACGGTAGATTCAGAGCTCCCAAGAATGCATCAACTTGCAATACCTTCTACGATAGGAATATGGTCAATTGGGAATTGGAAAACGGGATGTGAAAAAGTTGAAGTCATGGTGGTAGACATTCAACTGCTTAAGCCATGAATCTGCTGCACGCTGAAGATAGATCGCCTTTTCATAGTCGGACTTGTGGGCTAACCAAATATCCCCTTGCACTTTGTATGTTGCCAGCCCAAAGGGAGGAAGGGGAACTCCACCAGGTATTGTCTTTACCAGCTCGGGGGACTTCATGTTGTTCTCATTTCCAGTTCCACAATCTGCAAAATACAAGTGGTTGTGGTTATAAAAATATTAGTATGATGCAGTTCATCAAAACTCCTAGTCCATCACACCCAAATAACTCACTTCCAACAAGGATAAATAAGAATTTACAAAAAGACAAGTCTTTAGACCTTCTACTCTTATTCTGCACTTATTAACATTCCTCATGATACACAATTTAGGACCCATGGAAGGTAAATGCCAATGAAATGGTTTCATGAGAAGCCAAATTATGTTTTCAAGGGACAACATTCAACTGTCAAGTTCCCACTCAATCATAAAGAAGTATAGAGCATGGCTTGGATAATGGTACCTTTGAAGGATGAGGACAAAGTATGAAAGGTAAGAAAGCTCGCGTCCAAGTCCTTCTCACCTCTTCGTGATGGAATATGATAAATCGGATACCTAAGTTAAAAACAAGTCATAAGTTATCGTTGTTCATCCAAAGAGGCCATATATGAATAAGAAAAAGAGAGTTAACTATAATCAATCCTTTTTACTAGTGTTTGAATGCAACTCACATTTCAAACCAAATGAAAGTCGGACATATCAACAAAAATACTCGTATGAAGAAGTTAACCAAGACCATTAAGATCAGACATTCTCAAATTCATATGAAAAATCATGAGATCTACATCAAGAAATTTAAGACATGAATCAAGATCAACAAATGTTATTTTGACATTAAGTAGTAATCCTTCATTCCTAAAGATCTACAAAAAATCAATATGACATCTAATGGTGTCACATAAGTCGTTAACCAATTAATGGTCACGTTATTTACGTTACACTTCATTGCTTAAAATAAAAGATACGAGGCGCCTGGAACATATTGCACGTATGCTCAGTCTCTTACGCACGACCTTATGTCATTATTAAAGTGACGAAACAATAAATGGTATTATAGAAAAAGTGTCACGTGGCTTTACTCAAATCTAGAAATGTCGAGCTTTCCTATTAGCTTAGTATGGACGTGACAAACATTTTATCGAATCAAGTAAGTAAATGTTGATAAAAACTTGTCCTTTAGAGGACATCCAATAAAATTTTAACACGGAAGAAATATACTTGGGCTCGATTTGCTTGGCCTTCCACTATTTTTATTCATATAGGCTTCTTTTTAGCATAAATGCTACCGAACCCCAATTGGTGGGCCGAAATTTATAACCTAACTTTTAGCATAATCTATAATAACATGATTCAAAAAAGTCTCCATCGATATGAGAATACCACCAAAACTAATGGTTTCAAGGTGGATGGTTAGAAGTCAATCTAAATTGACATGATGATGATGATATATTGAGCAACAAGAACAATATTTGCTTTGATACAAGACAAGTATAAGCTTACATAGGTCATCGAAGAAGATTGGCACTGCTCTAACTTAGCTAGACACAATAAATGGCAAACTATTCATAACGTAGTTTAAAGAAGAGATTGAAGGAATTAAGATGATGGAAAATTCTTTAATAAGAGCATCCCACACCCCTATTATACTCCAAACATTTAACGAACTTCATAACACATAGCTTTAGTCAATAAGAACTTTACTAGGTAACTTAAAGTAGGTGATTGTATGGACTTTATGCCTTTTGGGATGGGATTGAAGGAGTTTATAGGAAACTCTACATTTTTTAAATTCTTAATAAACTACTTAAACGAGATCAAATAAGAGTGTCTTTCTAGCGAGTTAAGATATTTCCAAACACGACTCGAATCAAACTAATCAATCTTTGCAATCTTTTAAGGAGGCTTCCCATCGCCCTATTAGTCATTGAACATTCAGAAACCCCCACTACACATGGATATACTCTATAAGACCTCTATGCGCTAACATAAAATCTACGGTTGGATGGATAGTTCCACTTGGAATGGGATTGGCAGAGTTCACACAAAAACCTAGTTTTCACTATAAGAGATTGTGTAATGTCAACTTTTGCACCAATACATTCTCAAATATGCTTAACACCAACATAATAGGAAACATCATTATCCCTTATTAAGTTATTATACACTGAACATTTTACTGAACCATATGACACATGTTTGTACTCCATTAGACCTTTTATGAGATATTAACAAACATAGCTGTATGGACATTTTTCACATCAAATGAGATAAGGGAGGATTTTATAAAAATGACCTTTATAAAAAGGCCTCACATTACAAGAAACATGACAAAGTTAGATCCATTACTAAGAACAACAACATTTATGGTCAATGCATTCGTAGCTATTGCATTGGTAGAAAATTGCTTCATGAGATAGTTACTAACATTTGTAAGCAATCAATGATATAGGCTAGGTAATTTGTTGATACACTTCTTATACTTATGTTGGGTAATTAGATCTTAATTATTAATTAGATCATCAATGGTATGTTTTTCTAACAAGAGTCAACATTATACAATGTTTGCCCATAATATGTAGCACTTTCACGTTATATACTAGATACCAAGTTAATTGAAGCACCGTAGATTTTTACAAAATTGAACCATGACACTAAGTAGAAGATTCCTTTTGCATGCTTTACTTTACAATACTATATAATCAGATATACTAGGCAAATGTATCGTGTCTTCACTAGCCATATTGCTACTAAATGCTCTAAAAAATAACATATGCAAATTGTGACATCCTGGCACGACATGGAACAACAAGAATGTTCTATTGTCCGGATAAGAAAGCAAAATAAATAGAAACAAGAAAGTGGTATGCAAAGGGAAGACAGTTCCTCTTCACTACCAACAAATTCAGGATAATTAACAATTAGAAATAACTTACTTATCAGTAACTATGAACAAGAAATGTATATACAAATTATAATTACCAAGCAACAGCCATCCAACTTGCTGGTGAAAGATCCACATTCTTGAACGTCATCAATCCAGGATACAATTTAGCTAATTCAGATATCTAAAGACAAACAACAAATCAAACAAGACTTGACATGAAGCACAAGCCTCTAATTCATTGAATAATCAAGAAAATGAAAACAAAGGGAAACAAACCTTCTCCCGCAACGGGACTCTCGAGTAAGGAGAGCACATTTCAATGTAATGGAAGTAAAGAGAACCAAGCTTAGGACTTTTAAGCGAAGACTCATCACAGTTGGAGTTGTCATTCGAAATAGAATCGCAAGTCTTAACAGAATCTCCGCTCAAAGACCCGGATAGCTTCTCGCTTCGGCTATCTTCATCCCAAGAGTTATTCTCAAACTCGCTAGGGCTCTTCCTAGCAAAACTTACAGCAACCGAGCTAAACTCATTGAATCCAACTCTCAATCGCGATAATATGATATAAGAGAAAGAAATATAATCAGAACTTGGTAATAAAGTAAATTATTCATAGACGGGGGGAAACCTGGAGGTCGAGATGGACTTGTTGGTGTACAACTGAATTGCAGATAGGTAAGGGATGTAATATTGCGTAGTGTTGTCGTCATATTCAAGAGACACCTCAGTTCCAGCACCATAGGCACTAAACTCATCATAGCAAGCCCACAGATCAGCCAAAGTGAAGTACTCCACCATGGCTTTGTTGGGAAGTGGTTGCCAATGGTTGTTGAGATCGATGGCGGAGGTATCCTAAGTAAGAAATGGAAAGAAACATCCCATAAGAGAACGAATCAATGTTGTTCGACTGGAACCTATCAAAGAGATCATGTTTTAACATTTTTGTAATAATTTTATCTAAAACCTTATTTTTTTCATATTTCTAGAAATAATATTATATCTCTCTAGGAAAGGAAATAAATCTTTGTTGGATGTACTACCTTGTTTATTTTTATTTCTTATTAAGATAAGAAAGAAAAACATAGAATTCGAAATGTATTCTTCCACTAGAAACTAAAAGAAGAATCACCCTTTATACTACTAATTGTGTACACAACATGAAAGCATATATCAATTTCTTCCACAATCATTCAATTCATAATACAATTGCAAAAAAACAACCAAAAAGGTAAAAAAAAAAATAATAAGGTAGGGCCCATAATTAATGTTGTTAGATTTTATTCTGTTAGGTGGGGGTAGTTGACATAAATATGTTAGATTTGAATTTCATATTAACAATTAAACATCATTGGTCGCAAGATGATACAGAAGGAAAATAATCGATACATGTAAACAAGAGTAATCAAATATAGCAAACGATAAAATGGAAAATGAATAAAACTAGAATTCAGAGTAGAAAGGGAAGGGTGTTAGTACCTGTGCGAGAAAACGACAGGAAGGAATAGGGGTAACGCATTGGAGGAAGCGTATTAAATTTGATGTTTTGGCAGTACCATCTATGGTAGGTCGTGGCATCATCGATTCACTCCACGACGCGAATCTGAATCGTTTTCACTTGCAATATTCCTAATCTTCAGGATTTTGACTTGGATTTGACAATAGATGAGATATTAGAATCTCTATTTACCTTCCTCAATTGATGATGTTGACAAGGGAGAAGAGATGGTAAGAGAAAAGGGCTTGAAAACCAACTAAATTAGGGGAAAGAAAACAATGGTTGGGGGTAGAAATCTTGATTCAAATACCACAATAAGGTAAGGTGACCAAGTAAAACTTCAGACAAAAGGAGAGAGAGAGAAAGAAGAAGGGAGCGAAAGATGCAGAAGGCAAAGGCAGAGAGAAAATACAAAGGCAAAGAAAAGAAACTAAAAAGACTGTTGCAGGTGAAGCCAAAAGCTATATGAATTCTCTAAGAAGACTGACAGACGGTATTGATAATCTAACAGTTTGTCTTGACTCAAGAGTAGTCACTTTACAGGCGTTTTTAAGTTTTTACTTTATTTTCCCACTATTTCCCGTTTAAATTTCAATATTGGGTTTTCTACCATATATATATATAGAAATACAATTATTTTTAGATAAACAAAAAATAGAATTACTTATTATTTTTTATAACGGATAATTACTGATTTTTTATTGGCTGTCTATTAAGAAATTTTTTATATCAAATTTAAGGAAAGATTAAGAATGCAACCATTTCAATTTATGACCAATTGCATATTAGTTAATATATTTCCATAATAAAATGACACCAATTACCTTCTTTAAAATAACCTACTCTTCTATCATTGATATATTATTTGTATTACACCATAAATTTATTAAAAATTTTGTGGTAGGAAATTTATTTGGATTAATTAAACAATGGCCTTTTACAAAAGGCATGTAATTTCAATTAGACAATCAAAGTGTCTTTACAATCTAACTGTAGTTGCGGTAAAAGAAACACCGGAGGTATCTGGAACCAAAGCTCCATCTCTTCCCAAGGATACTTCACCCTCGCCATTTGATGAGTTGCCTCATTTTTCTTCCTTCCCAATTCCTTCATCGTAGAGGCTTAGAGGCGAGGGTTGAGTCTTTACCATCATGGGGTGGAGGGGTATATTAAATGGTCAAAATTCTTGAGTAAGGGGCTTTGTTGGTAGATGGGTTCTGATACAGTATGTGCTCTCAGACAATTGGGTTCCTGATCTGCATCCGTTTGCATCGAGGCCTCGTGAAGGGATTGTTGGGATCTAGGGGTTAGTGGCTTCGTTGATTATGCCTCATCAGGGAAGATGGTGGATGAATTGTTTGCGTCAACTATTTTATGATGATATGGTTAGAGCAATCCTAGCTATCCATTTGCCCATTTTTTCAGTGCTAGATCGGCTAGCATAGATGGGTGATTCCTCTGGCTAGTATACGGTGAATTCGGGGTATCATCTATCGGTGGATCTGCGAAGGAAAAGGGAGTTGGTGGTACGTTCGGGGCCGTTTGCTTGGGACAGTAGTTTGTGGTTGCATATTTGGGAAGCCCCAATCCCGACTAAGTTGTGTTACTTTGTTTGGAAGCTGGTCCGACATGTCTTACCGATGGGTGAATCTTTGCAAATTAGAGGGGGTTGTTCGTTGTCTGTTGTGTGACGGGGAGGAGGAGACTAAGGAGTATCTATTTTTTCACTGTCGGGTGGCAAGAGGGTTGTGGTAGGTTCGGGTTTAGCGGGATATAGGGATGTTTTGCCACAAGAAAAATGAGGCACCTTTTGGCGTTGTATGCTGCAACTGGCGGGATTGGAGCCTAAGTGCCTGATGAGTGTGGTAGCCTTGTTTTGGCGAATTTGGAGATCTCAAAATTGGGTGGTGTTTGACTATACTCAGTATACATTGCATGTTAGCTCAATTTTGTTTGAAGGTTGCAGAGTGGAATTTGGTTCCTAGTGCTCTCAATCCTCTTGGCTTGGCACGAGGGTGGCGAGACATTTCTGATTTCTCTATAGGAAACGGGGGCATTGGTGTTGTTCGTGGATGCAACTACTTCGATGAGGTCCCATGGGGCTGGTGGGTGTGTCTTGCCAGATGCGTCGGGTGTAGTGGTGGTTGCAACAACTGTATTGTACAATGGTGTCTTCAATTTGTTTCTAGTGGAGTTGCTTTCTTTATGCGATGCAATGCGGTGGTGTCTAGAGAGGTATCTGCGATCGATGTTTATTGCTTGTTATGTCAAGGTTGTGGTTAATAGGTTTCGGGATGGTCATTGGGCTCATGTTCGTGGGGATGTGGTGCTCGAAGAGGTTGCGACTCTGATGGAGAATTTTTTTTTCGTGTTGATGTTCGTTATGTAGGTCGTCCATTGAATAGGGTGGCCCATTTTGGTGGCACATAAAACCCTTTTGTTGTTCTCTTCTTTGGTTGTGTTCGGCTTTGTTTCTTGATTGTTTTTAGCCTCTTGACTCTTGTGCATCTAGTTGTTTATTCGGTAATACAATGATATTTTGGCAAAAAAATATTTTTAATGTTATTATCAAAAGGATTACTATATTAATTAATATATAAAAGCCTAACATTGTAGTAACTATTCATTAGTGGCTCCTAAACTCCTCTAAATGCAAGTTGACAATCTTTATGCGATTTGCTTCCTTCACTCACACATCCTTCTCCTAAACTCCAAAATTTTGGAAGACATTCTTTTACCCTACTCTCCCATTGAGAACCTTTAATTTATTTACTAATTTATAAAAGCCAATGTTTGGTGCTACTATTCATTAGTGGCTCTCACACTCCTCCAAATGCAAATGGGGAAGTTTCAAGTCCTTCTTTTATCCCACTCTCCATTCTACAACCTTTGTGTTTAGTTATTGTTCGCTAGGTTTTCGTCTATGACTTTGCCCACCAATATGCAGCCAATCTCGAATTACTATTGGGGAATCCTAAGTTGTTCCCCACCACCGTTTCCCAATGCCGCTATCACGAGTTTTTATCGAGAACGAGTTTTTTTCTTTCTCCTTTTTCTTTTTGTTGAGCATCATCACACTACAACAATTTTCGTCTATTGTGACGGAAACATTTTGTCATAATAGAACCAAATTTTGTCATAAAAACTTTATTATGACAAAAAAATTCGTCATACTGTTCATCAAAACTACCTCGTCGAAACAACTTTATTGTGACAAATTTTTAACGTCTTGTCACAATATGTTTCAATGGCCGACGTCCAACATTTGTCATTATAGGTCCTCTATTTTGACGATTTTTATATCATAATAAGGAAATATTTTGTCATAATACGATTAAATTTTGTCACGATAGTGGCAAATCTCAGTATGTTGTTGTGACAAATTGTACATTTGTGACAAATGATTTTGTTTTAATAGTTTGTCATAATATCTAATATGGGGTTCTTGTGTCAGAATTGTTTTTGTCATAATAAATTTGTCTCGATAGACTGATATTGTCATACTTGTATTTAGGAATAGTCTATATTTTGTGATGAAACTATTTTGTCATAATCTGACATGGTAATTCTATCATCGGATCTGGAAATTATGATAATAACACTATTGTCACGAATATTGAAGTCAACACAAAATGGTCAATAGTATCTGTCATAATCTTTAAATAAAAATCTTGTTGAGTAACATGACATCCTAGTTTCAGCAAATGTAACCTAACAACAATTACAGAAGCTAAATCAAACTACAAAAACCAAGTCATAAAAGCTGATGGGACTAGTAGTAGTGGTAGCAACACCAACACCAACATCAGCAGACGATTAGTCAGTCAAAATGTAAAAGAATGACAGGAATTGAAATTCAACAAAATGGAAATCCCACCTGCCTAGGTACGGAGATCCCTGAAGCAAATGACACCAACTGCAACTGTAACAGCAATCACAATCTTCTTTGAGACACAGAAGCACATATAATCAAACATTTCATAATGAATATAGAATATGCATACAAAGTTCTCATTAAGTTTACCCACAAAATCAAATTTAGCCACCAACCACTAAATCAAAACCCTAGGAACTAGGAAATGGAAAGGTTGAATGAAATGAGAAAATGATCTTGTCATAGTCTCAGATATGCTTAGCGTCCGATTCTCCTTTCTCTGGTGGGAACGCACAAAACCACAATTGAAATGAGAAAGCAAAAAAAGGAATCGTAGAGAACACATGGATTTAACAAAGAGGAAATAGAAGTAAACTGGATCCAAAGGAGCGGGTCGCAAAGACAAAGCTGGAATGGCTGGCAAAAGCCGGACGTGGCAGGCGAGGTGGAGCTGGGCGGCGACATAGGTAGTAGTTGGACTGCACTCGAGGCGGATGCAACACGCAAAGGAAGACAAGGCGGGTAGCTCGGTAAAGACAGAGAGCTCTACGCAGATGCGAATCTCGATGGCGGTTGTCGAAGAAGAAAAAAGGAATTCCGTCTTTGGGAAGCCTAGGCGACTATGAAGAAGAATGGGTCTTTCGTTCCTTCGAGTGGAAAGAAGATAGCTTGGTGGCGGAGAGGAAATCTGGTCGGGGAATCATGAAGCACTTAGGAGAATAGAGCTGGTTGCAGAGAGTACGATCGTGGGCAAGAAAGATGAGATGGCATAAGGGTTTTTTTTTTTTGTCTCCGAACGGGGGAAGCTACATTTGGGGAGAGTGTTTTCAATTTTAGTTGTAGGAGGGAACTTTTGGCGGGATGATGAAAATTTTGAGAGACAAACCCTAAAAAAATGAATTTTTTTTTTTTTTTGGTTTAATCGATAAAAATACGAAATAACCTAAAACAAATTCGAAAAAAAGTTTTTTGTTGTTGTTGTAATCGACACAATATAACATTTTATGTCGGTTAGAAAAAAATTTGTCGATTACTTAATTCACACAAATTTTCTACACAAATTTTAACTTTTGTGTCGGTTCAATTAACTGACACAACACAACCGACACCAAACATCGTTATTCTTGTAGTGGAATATGGGCACAATATAGATACTTGGTGTAGGTTTAGTGAACTATAACAACACAACCGACGCAAAACGAGAATTTT